AAAAAAAAAAAAAGACAAGTCCAAACCTAAAGCAACTGTATGAAGTCATACTCCAAGACTGACCCAAGGGGACCCACCTACAGATGGAGATGGATGCAACCATCGCCACACAGAAGAAGTTTCTAGCAAATCCGTTCTCCACTCCTAGCCATATAGGGCTAGAAAGGGGCAAGAATCAGTACTTGAATCCAGGTCTGACTTCAAAGACTGTGCTCTAATATTATACTGTCTTGATGTGGTAGTAGTGGTGATGAGAGGGGCGTGGAGAATGAGATTCATTCTTGCATATCTGGAATCCAAGGAGGCTGTGAAAACGTGTATTCAAACTCAGGGATGGGGAAATCTGGGTTCCTATCCTGCTGCTGCTTCCACTGAGTTGCCTGACCTTGGATGGGTCAATGTACTTTTCCAAGTTCTCTTTCTAAGGTTTCTTTATCATACAGGTCAACACTGAAGTCTAAAATCTGTGACGGACACAAAAGAACGGTAAGTCCCCTCTGTCCAGAAAAGACGTTACTCATAAGAGTATCAGTGGAATACTGCAGAAATCGGATCAGCCTTCTGGACCATACTTTCTCCAGAGAAAGAGACAGTCATTACTGAAATAAAGCAGGTAGAAGAGAACAGTCTTTCAGCACTTTTTCCCACCTCTTGTTGGGAGCCAAAGATCTTCCCATCAGACTAAATACCTCTGAGAGGCTCAAGGTTCACAGCACGTAAAACCAAAGTTAATTTTGCAGTAAGTCTGACAACAAAGTATTAATACAGAAGTAAATCTTGCAGCCTCTTAATCAGATTCTCTTCTTGTCCAAAAATGGGAACCACAGACCCTTAGGAGTTCAAGTCAACCTTAACAGAGATGGTTGTAAAAGAAAGGAGTGATGATCTACACAGGGTCATAAGACAAAATGGGAATCAGAAAACATCCCTCACCATTTCAGGTTAAACTATGGTGGCTAAACAGTAAGATACAGGGGCGCCTGGGTGGCGCAGTCGGTTAAGCGTCCGACTTCAGCCAGGTCACGATCTCGCGGTCCGGGAGTTCGAGCCCCGCGTCAGGCTCTGGGCTGATGGCTCAGAGCCTGGAGCCTGTTTCCGATTCTGTGTCTCCCTCTCTCTCTGCCCCTCCCCCGTTCATGCTCTGTCTCTCTCTGTCCCAAAAATAAATAAACGTTGAAAAAAAAAATTAAAAAAAAATAAATAAATAAAAAATAAACAGTAAGATACAGCAAAGGTCCAGACATTTAATAAGAGCAATGAGAAATGTTTCCACCATTTCCTCCAATGCATTCAAAAAGCCTCAGATCAATATGAAACAGGAGGATGAACACCAGGTAGTTATAAATAGACACTATTTGATGATCAAGTGTAATTTTGCACACAGAGAACAAGTCCAAATAATCACTGCCAGAAAGTACTTCTGTATTTCTGATTTACTTTTCGAATGGTTAAAATATGTATAAGAGAAGGAAATTTTAAAAAGCTTTTAATGAACTGGAAACAAACAAGCAAGTCTACCATATGAAATTAATCACGATATTTATAAAAGACTCCCCCAAGCACTTTAAAATGAAAGATGGGAAATCTGAGTTTAATTATATATTTGTAAAGCTATTAGATCTTAAAACTAAAAATTTCAAAGCACCTTTGATGAACAAAGTCCACACACCTATGGGACTCTTTGGAAGCCACTGGTAAGTTCTGCTACCAGGTGGCCTGTTTTGATTCTAAAGAGTGCCAAAGACATAGAACACTTCAGCATCCAGGTTAGTATCAGCAAGTATAGAAGGAAACGCCTCAGAACCTCAGGGGGCTATTTTGTCTCAAAGTTGTTATATTCCATAAGTAAAGGAAAATGCATTTTTAAAACTATATAAATAACACCTTCAATAAAACCAAGGTAAATTATACTTCTATCCTGATTACTAATAAAGGAAAAAGGCATATGAGAACATTTCATTTCTAAGAAACAAAAAGGCCAGGAAGCACCTGTGGCCAATATCAACTGCTAGGATGAAAACTTGGTTCAATTTAAGAGCTAATGCTGCTCTGTTTTCTTCTATGTTTGTAGTATGTATTTGCTCCCAGGACTATTCACCTGCCAGGCACATTACCCGACCAGACTGTAAGTTCTTCAGTGTCTTCAGGAGTCCCTTGTCTTGGGCTCCTACCCACCTGACAGGTGCTTCACTGATGACAAAGCTATGGATGGAGCTCTTTTGATTATGTAGCAGGAAACACCTTACCAGCAGTGTCCTGCCTTCCTTCAAATCAGTGATCCACAATCCTCAGGCATTGCAAACACTTACAGAGTAAGCACTATGCTCAGGGGAATATGGCTTCAAGTTATAAAGCAAGATCAGATAGATGAATTGAAAGGGCTGAATGGCCTAGTAGCAAAATGGCGTGAAAATGGCAAGTCAATTTCAGTTACTTTCCTTAACAACTGTCAAAAGAAACATTAGGCTTAAAAAAGAAAAGCCAAGAATTCATTACAGATGGATTTTAAAATAAAAAAGAAACAGAAAATATTCATATTGAGGAAAACAATGCATTTTAGCTTATTCCTTTTTCAAGAAAAAAAAAATGACCAATTCAGCCCAATTCCAATAAAGGTAAACTTGGAAGTTTTGTTTCATTTAAAAATTACACTCATTAAAATTTAAAGATACATTTGAACCCTAGGCATGCAGGAAACTGTTGGATACTACTGTATCCAAAAACCAATTTAATGGAAAACCTTAGTCTATGATAAACATAAATAAGTTGCACAGACTAGCAGAATGCCTAACATGTAGGACACACACAATATATATTTGTTGAATTAATGACTATATTTAGATTTGTCATGCTACTATTTCTTTCTCCTTGTTAAACCAAATTCCTAAGCCTTATACATTTTTCTACAATTACCATCTAAAGAGAAGAAAGATGATTGGCATTGAAAACAACTTACAATTTTACAACTTACAATCCGTACTCAACATCTCAAGAAGGTGTTAGCACTTAGAATTCTTCAGCAAATTCTAAGGAATTTTTTCCTTATAACTTAAAACTATAGACTATATAGAATATCTTAACAGCATATGGCCAAGTTTATGTGATCATCTGAGGAGAATAATTCAGTTTCATAAAAAATGCAAATCGAACGGTAGTGCATTAATTCATGCCAACCCTGCTCTCAAGACAGTCACCAGAGACCTCCCACGTGAAATCAATATGCATACATCTATTTAACTTTTATCACTGGCTCACTAAGTAAATATCAGGCTACAGACCACTTAGGTATTCATTATTCACAGGCAAATAGCAAACGTAAAAAGCAGGCTGATCGTGTCAAGTTGTTAACAAATCAATCGATAACTGCTCCCCTGTTTTAGTTTGCTGAACGAGGGCAAAGATGTACAACATCTGGAGCAAACTGTGTAAGTGCTAAGGTACAATCTGTGCACAGCAGAGGGATCTGTATTTATGCTGATGCGGAGACAACCTCTCCAGGAACCCTTAGGTTGTATCTGTTCTTCTCAGGCTTTAATAAGCACTGAAACACATCCACTCTCGGTGCTATTCCTTATACAACAAAAGGGCTGAGATCCCCAAGGACCACAGTAGTGGGAAACGCTACTCCCTTAGCTCCCCAAGGTGTCCGAGATGGAGACAGAATGAAAACACATTTGAGCGCGTTACATGAATGAGGAACAAATGATTTCATCCTCAAACCTCCCAATTCTATGACTTTAGCAGCAAGATTTTTAGCATTTTTTAGGGACCACATGTTTTCACAGGCAGCTAATCCCTCCCCCAAGAGTGGCCAAGAATGGGTTTCACTTTCGTAAAACAAACAACAACCTCACATTTTTTTTCTTTAAGTGTGAACCCTGATAAACATGATGTTCATAGTGCCAAGCCCCTGGGAATAGCATCCTTTGTACATTAATTTCAGGGTGATCACTACTCCCATCTGTCTCCTGTCACAGACAGTCAATACATCCTACTGTATCTGAGGTCACTTACCCAACTTGTCATCTAAGAGACAGCGAAAATGAAATGAAGAAAAAGAAATTCAGTCACCGGAATAAAGTTGAGCTTCATGACTCCTTCCTCAATTTACACATGATAAAAACCACTGTCTACAAAGCATCATCAATGACAACAGAGCTCAAAAAGCAATGCCCGTTTCTTCCTCTCATCCATTCCAAAAATCAGCAGCAAGACTCAACTCAAAGCCATACAAATGATGCTCTTAATTATAATTACAAAAATTGAAGGCAATATGAGGTCAAGACAGATCAAACACCCTTTCCACTAACAGCAGGAGGTATATAAAAAAAAAAAAGGCCCCTTCTCACTTCCTACTCATTTCTGTCACTTGATCTGTGGGGACATGACTATTTGTTGTCAAATGCAGAAGTTAACATCGGCACACATGCATATCCCTGCTGGAAGCAAGTCCTGCTGGGTTTTAAATGAACCTGCACTGTATTTACTTATCCTCCTGTCTTATTTCCTAGGTGAAAGGTTTAATTAATACTTCACCCCAGAAACACAAGAAATAGCTTTATTGGGAGTAAAAGTCATAACAGCAATCTATTCATCCTGTGAGCGGCAATTTTCTTGCTACGTTTTCTTTCTCTTCGAGGGAAATCTCAGTCCCCTCCCTCTGCCCCAACGATGAATAGAGAGTCCCCAAAATGATCCACAACGAACAAGAGTTGGAAAACATGCTCTTATTGCCTCTTTTCCCTCTCTCTTCATCTGGGAAGCTCAGGGCACACCTTTATTCCAGAGCACAAATTCAAGCGGGCCCTCACCACCTGAGCAAACCACAACTGCCGGGTCCCACCCATTACATTTTTTTCTGTTTATCAGGTTAACAGCTAGGGGCACACACAGCCAGGATGTTAGAAGCAAGTTGCAACACGCGTGCTCTGCACCCCACCCCCACCCCGGACAGAAGCTGCACCCACTTCCCGCTGTCTGCCTTCTCCCCCAGACCTTACCCTGCCCAAGAGGTTGTCCTGAAGCAGCGTCTCCTGGAGCACTGGGGCCACCTCCTCCAAGCTCAACATGTGGCAAAGGTCGGTGAGTTCCTCCTGTCCCAAGGACCCGGTGCCTGTCGTGTCAAAACTGTCAAACAGCTCCTTGAGTCGGGCCTCATGCTGGTCCTGCTCCACCTCATCCATCCCATAGCCCACGGCGCTCACCTGTGTGCGACAGAGACAAGGGCGGGTGGTGGCAGCCCGGGAGTCCTATCCCTGCCCTCGCCAGCCCCTTGGAAAGGTTCTGTACGTCCTTGGCCCCTGATGCTGGTCCATGAGGACCTCGGTGGAGGCAGGCAGGAGAGGCGATGCTGCACCCTCACCCCTCACCCCACCCCCAGCAAGACCTCAGGTCTCTCCAGGAGCCAGCCCTGGCCGGCCAGGTGCCCACACAGGCACTCACACCAGGGCCACAGCTACACAGGTCACTCAGGGTAACGTTACCAGAATGAGGGAGTCTCCTCTCCTGCCTGGTCCTTGGGCAGGTGGCCAGTCTCAAACTCAAGACTGAAAGCGCTTCTCTATCAGCTCACGAGCCCCTGGACGTACAGAAGGTGAAAGGCCACTTCTGACACTCTGTCCTTTCAAACTAACCGTTAGCACCAATATAGGCTGCAGGGCCCGAGCTGTGAGGCAAGTTGGCGAGCTCCAGACCACCTGCCCAGATGTCGCAAGCCACCGCTGTGGCCACGCTATCTAGTTCCACTTGGCTCAGCCTAGATGCCCCCCATCACAGTTAGCATGGAGGCTTGCAGCAAGAGGCACTAGATGAATATGTCCGATACAACACAAAACCACCTCCCTGTTTACATGAGACACAATGCCTTTTACACAAGTTCCCCCAAAGGCAGTGCAATTAAACTTCACTGGTGCAATTACGTGAGGTGTGACAGGAAGGGTATTCCCTGAAGCTGGCTTTAGTCCCTGGGGGTTTTAGGCAATGCCTAATTGCCTAGAGAAAGGGGAAAACACTATTCCAACCTTTCAGACTATGAGCTTCAGAGGAGCCACAGACCATATGAATCATACAGAGTCTCAGGGAACCTCCATTATCCAGACCACCTCATGTCTGTGCACATGGTTAGTCTGTCTTCCTTCTTTTCTTTTTTTCTTTTTTTTTTTTTAAATTTTTTTTTCAACGTTTTTATTTATTTATGGGACAGACAGAGACAGAGCATGAACGGGGGAGGAGCAGAGACAGAGGGAGACACAGAATCGGAAACAGGCTCCAGGCTCCGAGCCATCAGCCCAGAGCCCGACGCGGGGCTCGAACTCACGGACCGCGAGATCGTGACCTGGCTGAAGTCGGACGCTTAACCGACTGCGCCACCCAGGCGCCCCTGTCTTCCTTCTTTTCAACCCCCAACCCCAGGCTTCCCATTTCTCCACCTTCCATGGGATCAATAAAAACACAGGCTCATGATTAACTCAGAATCACTTCTGCTAAAAACAGACATCATAAAATTCTAGGTACCTCATATTTTAAGAGTGAAATCTGGGGGTTTCTTTGGTTGCGCAAGAATTCATTTTTAATGTGTTGGGTCTTCTGATGAGAGCCTGAAATGTGCACGTCTGAAGCTACCTTCACCATGACGCAACGGAAGCCAAACACAACCTAGACCCCTGAGACAATGACCTCAGCCATCTAAACCAGGCTCTCAGCACCAGCCCCTTGACTATAAAAAGCAGCACTTTCAAAAAATATATTTATCTTGCCCATATATTTTTTTTACTGTGATAAAAAATACATAACGTGAAATCTAACCTAACAAAAATTTATTAACAAAATTTTAAGCGCGCACAACCGTCTTCTTCACTAAACGTGCACTGTTGTACAGCGGATCTCTAGAATGTTTTCATCTTGCGTGACTTTGTACCCACTGTAGAACAACTTCCCATTGCCCCCTGCCCCAGCCCCCGGCAAACATCATCCCAGTTTTCAAAGCAGCACCTTTAACAAAAGCCCTGAGTAAGAAAACTCTCTAACTCACGGGCGATGTGCATATAGCAGATGGGCAACACGGGCGACACACCAGTTCAGGTGTTGAACGTGGCCAGAACTGTAAATGAGAGAGGCTTCCATAACACATCAGTGCTGCTCTAGGCTGTGCTGTTTTCTTCCCACAGGCAGCTGTCCAAAACATTACAAGCTAAAACGCAACCATGACCACCTGGAGTTTCAGCACAATGAGGTAGACTCAAGGTGTTTTCAAACAGCTCAGCCACTACTCAAGGCCACTACTCAATTCGTACTGGGGCCACTCATTAAGGCAAAGCAGCACCATTTAGGTCCAGGCTCCTGGTCTCGGGGTCTTTTAATTCTCAGCTTTTCTATTACTAAGGTGCTGTCGGTTCTGGCTGCCTTCCCAGGATTGGTCTGTTGGGTTAACTAATCACCATGCAAATGTTTTCAAAATAAGTTGAGAGTGCGATATAAACATCAGAGCATCAGAAAAGAAACACCAAGGTGTTAAGCGAAGCCACAGAAGTTAGGAATTTAGACAAGACCAATGCCTGGCTAATGAGACTCCGTTAGAGTCTGTCAGTTTGTTGTCGCCTAGGATCTGAGACTCCCCAGGGGCCCTGGGATTTTCAAGGTTGCAGTGACTCTCAGACTCACTCTGAATTTTACAGTCCCCTGGGCTATACATAATCTGACCAACTTCATAAAAGGCAGACAATTCCACTTTTACTTGATTTTGCATATTAAAAAAAACCCTCAAAAGTGAAAGAATTCAAAAATTTCCCCTTTTTATTTTTAAGGCATGGGGATTGGTTCATTGAGACCAATGAAAGGGGACCATAAAACTCATAATGTACTGAGAAGTCCTGATCTCATCCATGGCTTTGGATTCAATAAGCTATCATGCCCTGCTCTTTGGGAGGTCATTGGATTTTTCACTAAATCAAATCTCTTTCATTTCACAGCAGCTTTCCTTATTTATCTCTTTTTTTTTCATCTCCCTCCTTCCCAAGACGCTATGCTTTGGAGAACATTCTTTTGACTGGAGGGGGAAAACAGCCTCAACCCTGTGGAACAAATGAGCATACGGAAACATCCAGAAGATGTTACATATGGTGACAAGTTGTCAGTCCTCGTTTGGCACAGAGTGCATTCTTTTTTTCTGGTTGATATTATTCCCCAAATGTTCATAATTTCATGTGCAAGAATTTTTTTTTCTCCCTGCTTGGCATAAATTTCCGTAAGGACAAGGTCCACAACTTATTTCTTTTATATCCTCCCCCAAATGCATAGCACAGTCTGTTCCTCACACCAGACACTGACTCAGTGTAGGGAGATTCCATGAGTGGAACCTTACCCTGAATGAGTGATGAAATGAGCCTATGAAGATTCTGAAATGCCCTTTCTTCCACAAGCACACCTCTCCTTCCCCCATCTGACCCCTTTTGTCAAAGGCATTTTCCATCTTGGATATCACTAAGCAGAAGCAGAAAGCCAGAACCCACTGCCAACCTGTAGCATCTAGAACTGTCCGGAGTTTGATTAAGGAGTTAGTAATTAAACCAATGGATTCATAAACTTCGGCTGTAATTTTTTTTTTTTTTTTTTT